ATGAGGTCCGGCAGGGAACACTGGGCGTGGATGGTCGTGGTTGAGGTCCGGCAGGGAAAACTGGGCGTGGATGGTCGTGGTTGAGGTCCGGCAGGGAACACTGGGCGTGGATGGTCGTGGTTGAGGTCCGGCAGAGAACACTGTGGATCGCGGGTCGCAGTTGGACGAGGACGACGAGGACGACGAGGACGACGAGGACGACGAGGACGACAAGGATGACAAGGAGGACGAGGAGGAGAGGAGGAGAGGAGGAGGAGGAGGACGAGGCAGGAGGCAGGATGAGGCAGGAGGAGGCAGGAGGAGGCAACTGACATAAAATCTAACAACCCTCACCTGGCAGGTGGGGAAATATATATATATATGTTTACCAGTAGTACCGCACAAGGCGGTGGCGGAAGTTTCAAAAATAGGAAACCTATAGGAGAGGTTGGTTGTTGTGAATCAGGGATGGCAAAGCGAATCCACTGATGGACCGAAAGGTGCTTGAGGTCTCCTCACTGTCTCTCTCTTTCTCTGACTATCTACCTACCTATCTATCTTCTATGTATCTATCTATCTAGCTATCTACCTCTCTCTTTCTCTCTTTCATCTAATTACCTATCTACCTATCTACCTATCTACCTATCTATCTATCTCTCTCTCTCTCTCTCTCCCTCTCTCTCTTTCATCTGTCTATCTGTCTAGCTGTCTACCTGTCTATCTATCTATCTATCTGTCTGTCTGTCTATCTGTCTACCTGTCTACCTGTCTATCTGTGGTGCAGTGTCATTCAGTGTATTGTAGTGTAGTGTAATGTAGTGTAGTGTAGTGGAGAGTAGTGGAATGTAGTGCAGTGTAGTGTAATGTAGTGTAGTGTAGTGTAATTTCGTGTAGTGGAGTGTAGTTGTGTAGTCGTCGTTGTAGTTGTAGTGTAGTGGAGTGTAGTGTAGTGTAATGTAGTGAAGTGTAGTGGAAGGTACTGTAGTGTAATGTAGTGTAGTGGAGTGTAGTGTAGTGGAGTGTAGTGTAGTGTAATGTAGTGTAGTGTAGCGTAATTTAGTGTAATGGAGTGTAGTGGAGTGTAGTTGTGCAGTTGTAGTTGTAGTGTTGTGGAGCGTAGTGTAGTGTATTGTAGTGTAGTGGAGTGTAGTGTAAGTTAATGTAGTGTAGTGTAGTGGAGCGTAGTGTAGTGTAATGTAGCGTAGTGAAATTTAATGTAGTGGAGTGTAGTGGAGTGTAGTCTAGTTGTGTAGTTGTAGTTGTAGTGTTGTGGAGTGTAGTGTAGTGTAATGTAGTGTAGTATAGTGGAGTGTGGTGTAATGTAACGTAGTGTAGTGTAGTGAAGCGAAGCGGCGAAGCGACATCTGAACCTCCAAAAGTGGTCCGAACCCCTAGTGTTTTGTACATTTTGACTTGGAAATGTGCTTCGCGCCACAACGGCGTGCACTTTTTCAACATCCGAACCTCCAAAAGTGGCGCGAACATGTGGTGCTTTGTACATTTTGACTTCGAAATGTGCTTCGCGCCACAACGGCGTGCACTTTTTCGACATCGCAACTTCCAAAAGTGGTCCGAACCCCTAGTGTTTTTAACATTTTGACTTGGAAATGTGCTTCGCGCCACAACGGCGTGCATTTTTTCGACATCGCAACTTCCAAAAGTGGTCCGAGAATGGTGTGTTTTGTACATTTTGACTTGGAAATGTGCTTCGCGCCACAACGGCGTGCACTTTTTCGACATCGCAACTTCCAAAAGTGGTCCGACACTGGTGTGTTTTGTACATTTTGACTTGGAAATGTGCTTCGCGCCACAACAGCGTGCAATTTTTCATCTCTCATCTGGCCAGCTGGCTCCGCACCCGCCGCTTTAGCGAGCCTACTTTTCGACCCTCCGGAGCCCCAAATCATTGGAAAAACACAGTGTTTCGCGACTTTCCTACCTTTTCGCGCATCTGCATCTTCTTTCTTCTGACTCTTTCTCTTCTACTCTTCTCTCTTCTAATCTTTCTCTTCTCTCTGCCTCTGCCCTGCTCTGCTTTTCATCTGTCCATATTGTCGGAAGTTTGACTTCTAAACTTCCTTCGATAATAATAAAAGCAATAATAATAATAAATAATAATAATCATAATAATAATATTAATAATAATAATATATTATATATATGCACGTTATTTTTTACATAATATGCGCAAACAAATCTCAAATCATCTCAACATAAACATACACACATTCTTATGTACATGTTAAACATGTAAAGAGTGGAGAGGAGTCGCGTTCCTTGCAGGGTTCTCAGAGCTCCTCTTCATACATTTTTTGACCATTTGGATCTGGTTCAACTCTGCCATGAGGTCCATCGTCTCCAGCCTTCCAGTCCTTTCGCTAAAGCAGCAGCTGGGGGACCCCGTGCTAATCGCTCTACATTGGGAGGACGGCGGGTTGGGGCAATGACTTTCCGATAAAGAGAAGCAGTGGATGATTAGCGGATTTGAAGGGGAGAGGGCCAGCGAGAGGATGATTATGTATCAAAAAGTATTGTTGACTCATTGATATAATCGAACTTCCATTTTCGCATTGGTTTGTTTCACGGCAAGAGGCCTCGAACCTTGCAAGCGTTGAGATGCCAGGGCAAGGTCTTGCAAGATTCAGAGACTCCTTCAAGCTTGGCTTGGCCCAGCGAAGTGACCCTCACAAAGGTGGAGAAACTTGCTACAATTTAGCAGGGTGGACTGGAACATGCTGTACTATAGTTCTCATATGGAGGTTTCCTAAAATAGGGGTTCCCCAAAGCATTCAAGATTAGACAGTTTTGTATGAAAGCAATGGCTTTGGCGGTACCCCCATTTTTAAGCAACCCCTATGTGTTTGATTTATGGAAAGTAGACTGGAAAGGTTAGCTTATTGCAACAAACCAGTGACCTAAGACGACCTGAGCACAGCTGCTCAGCTGCTCAGCTGCTCTAGGAAAGTCAGAGGTTTGGAGCTCTGGTCATGTGTGGTCATGTTTGCTGTCACTGCAGCTTGTGGATTTATATTGGGCTTGCAGTTGATGTGACTTTCGATTCAAGGATGACCTTCGATCATGAACGTCCCATCACATTGCTGCGAGACCAAAGCAATACATTTGGGGTGATGGACGGGCATCTTGTCGCCAAGACCAGGATCGGGAGGGCCTATATACCCTCTTGTAATTTAACATAGCAATTGACCATGGCCCATTTATAGTTGTTCCCTAAAACGATGTGTCCACACTGAGGGGTTCTTATGGTAATGGTAAAGGCCGGTACTTGATCAGGGTGCTACAGCTGGGCCGCGGCATTTTTCCTGTTAATTTCCGTATAAAATTGCTCTTGTGACACGTTGATGTGCATTTCGACCGCGCAGGCTCGCACAAAGTGTGGGCCGCGGTTCTGGGCCGCAGAATTTGTCCTGGAAATTTCAGAATAAAATGGCTCTTGTGACATGTCCAAATGCATTTTGTCTGCGCAGGCTCGCGCAAGAGTATGGGTCCCGTCTTGGGCCTCAACATGATCATCCTCAACGTCGTCATCTTCCCCCTTCCTCCTTGGCCTCATGATCCACGACATCATCAACCTCCACCTCATCTTCCGCAACATCAACATTCATTACCTTCATCTTCATCATGTTTCTCCACATTATCCTCCTCAACATCACCGTTTTCCTCCTCCAGATCATCATCATTCACCTTATCATCCTCCACTTCATATTCCGCATTATCATGCTTGTCCTCATCCTCCTCAACATCATCATCCGCAACATCCTCGACTCAACATCATCATCCTCAACATCATCCTCCTGCACCTCATCATCCTCAACATCATCATCCTCAACACCACCATCATCACAATCGTCATCATCATCATCATCGTCATCATCATCATCATCGTCATCATCATCGTCATCATCATCATCATCAACACTGTCATACATTATCCTCCCACTCCTCCACACTGTTTGGGCTCTCTTGCCGGGATATTTTTTCTGCTAAAATCTGTTAAAAGGGTGATGTCCCATAGTAAGCTGGGCCCCTGACACCACACCTATGTCGCCATTGGATCGGGGTGCCTTTGATTCTTTGCCATCAGCTCAATATGTAGCCCATTATACATATTATACGCCCCCGGTTCCACCCGGTTGCTGCTAATCTCTCCCGGGCCCAGATTTGCAGAAGGAGCCTGCAATCATTTGCAAACATTCTTCTTTCTTGCTAAACAATTACTATGCGACCTCAAGCAGTCAAGGTTTCTAGAAAATCATTCCAGGTTATATATGTTTGTTTTGGGTGGCCAATTGATATATTACACAATATTACACATATGTATTTACATACGCTCATACGTACGTACGTACTTACATACATGCCTTACTTTGCATCACACCACATTACATTACATTGCATTACATTACATTACTTTACACTACATCATTACATTGCATTGCATTACATTACATTATACTACATTACATTACATTACGTTACGTTACATTACATTACATTAAAAACAAACATACATACATACATGCATACATACAGACAGACATACATGAATGCATGCATACATACTGACATACATACAGACATACATACACACATTTATATTTGTATACACAGCTAGATTTACTGTATCACATGTATCACAATGTGCCCCACCCGGAAAAATCCAGGGTTGCTCCACTGAGGGATGAGGCTCGACGAATGTGCACAGCCATGAAGGAGACCGGAAGTCGATCGGGGCTAGTAATATAGGGATTGGTTTAAGGGAAAATCTACAGGAAACCATGGATTTTCCCATGAAATTGATTAAGGCTTCTGGTTTCATTTTTCCCGAAAAAAGCCATCGTTAACCACACTTGGGAGAATGAAGATGGCATCATTTGGGGTAAGGTCCTCGCTTTTGAACTCGCCGAAGCGCATCGCTTTGGAGCGCGCCTAAACGCATCGCTTTGCCAGCGTCATCATCATCAACATCATCATGATTATCATAATCATCGTCACCAACATAATCACCATCATTATCATCACCATAATCATCATGATCATCATTGTCATCAGTGTCATCATTGTCATCATTGTCATCATTGTCATCATAATAATATATAATAACAATAATAATAATAATAACAACCATAACAATATTAATCATCATCATCATCATAATTACCATGATCATGATCATCATGATCACCATCACTATCAACAACCACAGATATATATATATATATAATATATATATATATCTATCTACCTATCTATCTATCTATCCATCCATCCATCCATCGATCGATCGATCGATCTCGATCTCTCGATCTCTCGATATCTCTCTCTCTCTCTCTCTCTGATCATCCTCATTAACTACCGGTAAGGTGGGGGGTGTTCAACTTTTTGCTGTCCTGCCTCCTTGTGGGTTTCTTGGGGTTGGTTTGATTTTCTCCTTCGTCCGTTGTGTTGTCCTGCCGTGCTGCTTGCCCGGTTTCCTTCCCCGGGAAGAACCCTTAAGAGTGGAATGAACCGTTCCAACCTTGCAAAGTAACTGAAGTGATGATGTAAGTAGAATGTCCCCCCCAAAAATAAACCCCAAATGGCTGGTTGTGAAAACTCCCCCTCCCTCCCCTGCAGAAATAAACCCTAAATGGCTGCTGTGAGCATAAGGATGCCCAAGGCAAGAGAGGAGTACGAACCCTCAGAGGGAAAGAAAACTGAAGAATGTCCCCCAATAAACCCCAAATGCTAGGTCTTAAACCTTCCCCTCCCCACCAAATAAACCCTAAATGGCTGCTGTGAGCATAAGGAGGCCGAGGCAAGAGAGGAGTAAGAACCATCAGAGGGAAAGAAAACTGAAGAATGTCCCCCTCCCCAATAAACCCCAAATGCTAGGTCTTAAACATTTCCATCCCCCCCAAATAAACCCTAAATGGCTGCTGTGAGCATAAGGATGCCCGAGGCAAGAGAGGAGTAAGAGCCCTCAGAGAGAAAGAAAACTGAAGAATGTCCCCCTCCCCAATAACCCCCAAATGCTAGGTCTTAAACCTTCCCATCGCCTCCAAAAAAACCGTAAATGGCTGCTGTGAGAATATCATAAGGATGCCCAAGGCAAGAGAGGAGTAAGAGCCCTCAGAGGGAAGGAAAACTGAAGAATGTCCCCCTCCCCAATAAACCCCAAATGCTAGGTCTTAAACCTTCCCCTCCCCCCCAAATAAACCCTAAATGAGCATAAGGAGGCCGAGGCAAGAGCCCTCAGAGGGAAAGAAAACTGAAGAATGTCCCCCTCCCCAATAAACTCCAAATGCTAGGTCTTAAACCTTCCCCTCCCCCGCAAATAAACCCTAATGGCTGCTGTGAGCATAAGGATGCCCAAGGCAAGAGAGGAGTAAGAGCCATCAGCCCCCTCCCCAATAAACCCCAAATGCTACAAGGTGTAGGTCTTAAACCTTCCCCTCCCCCCCAAATAAACCCTAAATGGCTGCTGTGAGAATAAGGATGCCCAAGCAAGAGAGCAGTAAGAGCCATCAGAGGGAAAAAAAACTGAAGAATGTCCCCCTCCCCAATAAACCCCGAGTGCTAGGTCTTAAACCGTCCCCTCCCCCCAAATAAACCCTAAATGGCTGCTGTGAGCATAAGGAGGCCGAGGCAAGAGAGGAGTAAGAGCCCTCAGAGGGAAGAAAACTGAAGAATGTCCCCCTCCCCAATAAACCCAAATGCTAGGTCTTAAACCGTACCCTCCCCCCAAAGAAACCCCAAATGGCTGATTGTGAAACCCTCCGCCTTACCACCCAAATAAACCCGAAATGGCTAGTTACCAAGGTCAGAGAGTAGTAAGAGCCATGACAGTGGAAGTGATGATGTAAGGACTAAATCTCTCATTGGCGTCGCTTTTTGGTAGAGGCATCGCTTTGGAACGCGCGAACCTTCCAAAGTGCTGCGCCTGCCAGTAAATCTGATGTCCGGTTTGTTGGGTGTGGTCCGATATAATATGATGTAGCGTTTTGTGTTCCAAAGCTATGCCAAAATGGTTGTGTTCCAAAGTGGTGTTTTTAACTGGGCTCCAAAGTGATCTTTTTACCTGAGTGAACCACACTTGGGAGAATGAAGCTGGCATCATTTGGCAATTTGATACATATACCAGGGCACTAGGGTTTTGATCCATTGGAGGATTGGTTGAGATCAGCAAGCAGTGCCAGTTCTAGCTTGGTCCTCTAAGGAGCTTCTCCTCAAAGAAGCCAATGTTTTGGAGCTTCAAGCGCCCTTAGTCATCTCTGCCCATCTTACAGGGACCTTTGGCTTGGTTAAGTGATGTTAAGTGGGGGATGGAAAGGGATTCCTTGCAGTATGGCTGCCATCACTTCGTGTGATTTTTACGCATTCAACGGGGACCTGATCTCCCTTTAGACTTTTGTGAGGCTTTTCGGATTCCTCTGAGCTCTGGGAGAATCAATCAGAGTTGAGCGCATTTCCGACCTGGAAGCAAGAATCCACGGTGTAAACAGATTAGACAGAGACAAAATTATCAGCGGCGTGACGAACACGAATCATTCAGATTCATGTAGTAGGCCACGGCTTCCTCAATCACTTTCTAGCAGTGATGCCTCCGCCGTGTACTTGTAGTTGATTGCCTTTCTTAGAGGGAGAGAATTGGAGAAGTTCCAGTAATTACTCATTATATATATATATTATATTATATATAAGCATTTTGAGTCTGAGGGTGAAGTCGGGAGAAGTTTCATGAAGGTCAGCCAGCATCAGCCAGCAGCATTTTGTTTACCCTCTGGTAATTTGACATAGCTATTGAAAATGGCCAAGTTATAGTGGATGTCCCTATTAAAATGGATAAAATGGTGATTTCCCATAGCAAACTGCTAGTTTACCAGAGGGAAACTCAGGAATTTGAATGCATTAAACTACATTTTCAACACCTTCGGCGAGCCCGGCGGGACATCGCATCTCTTCCTGGGAAATTATGTGAACAAAGGCCCGGATGGGGATGGGGAATAATTGAGACCGTTGCTTTGATACAATGGTGTTGAAATGTGTTGAAACTCAACATGCATCAAAATACCACAGAGAGACGCTGGGTAGATGTTCTTTCTCTCAATTTTCTGATGATTGTTTGTCGGATATGCGCCAGGCAGAAATGGAATTGATGTCATGATATTGCTCCTTTGCTTCAAGAAGAAGTTTCCTGGCCAAGTTCACTTGCTTCGTGGCAAACACGAATGTAGCAGCATTGCGCGTATCTATGGCTTCTATGACGAGTGTAAACACCGCTTTCCTTCGCGCTCTGGGGCAACTTGTCTTGCCTCAGCCGCTGATTTTATTTTCCTCGTATTGGCATTTCTTAGTTGTCATTTTGTAAGGTGGCATTTGGGTACAGATTGATTTGGTATCTAGGTGAATGTGTACTTTCAGTGCTATAAACTGTAAACTACCGTAGACAGATGGACAATGAAATCAAACCCCTGCTGTATTGTTTTCACCCCCACGCCCCGAAATTTCAATGTTGTCTTTGGGCTGCGCGCTTGGGTCCGGTGGACAAACAAAACCAAACCCTGAACGCAGAGGAAACTATATATATAGAGAGAGAGAGTTTTGTTCAACATTGAAATTCGGGGTGTGGGGTTTTACTTGGTAGATCTTTGTAGGGTTTGATTATTTTGTCCATCTACGACTTCAAGCTTTAAAGCACCACAGTGTGGGGACTTGGCTTTTGCAGGTGAAGCTCTTCAGGCAATTTGTGGAGGTCTTTGACAACTTACCTCTTGCTGCAGTGATTCAGAGACTTTGGTGCACTGTGGATGGGCCAGCGAAATCCTTAAAACCAGTTGGTAAACATCCCATTATTTTTAGGATTTCAACCATCCAAGGTGGTGCAGGATTTCTTCCATCCACAGTATTCTAAGAATATTGTAAGATATTGTAAGATTTGATTGTAGTAAGCATATCCTTGTAAGATATTGTAAGTCGTGGCCAGATGTAAAACCATGTGGGGACAAATGATCAAACGTGCCCCATTTTGAGCTACTCATGGTGTTTGTGAAAGTCGAGGACGTTCGAGGACCCCTCAGAGCATTTCCGCACGGAGCATATGATACTATGTGATTGTATTGTATTTGATTTATTTTGCAGAATTTGGAGCATCCAATTCAGAGGAATCAGTACTTGAAGCCAGTAACAGCCTTGGGATAGGTTCCAACTTCCAGGTCCAAACAGATCATCATTTTACATCATTTTACCAGCCCCGGACACTTCTTTAAGAGCGGATCTTTGATGGGTCAACTATCAACGATTTCTCCAATGTCATGGTGATTTGTTTTTAGTACTTACTGTTACTGTAATAACATATATGTATATATATATATATATGTATATATATATAACATGTGCAATGTATACATATATATATATATATGTTGCATAATAAATATGTATATTACAGTAACATGTTGTTATTATCATTATGAATTGAAGTATCCTTCTTATGTTTGTTGGTTGAGCCCCGGTTCATTAGTTGCTTGACGCTCGTACCTGTGGCTAGTGACCACCAGGCAACGGGGACATAAATATATTAAACGTTTGCCACGATAAAATTACATTTTACCAGTGCTTCCTATATTTTCCCATAAAATTGCTAAACTTATTGCTTAATGTTCACCTCTGATTTATAAACGTGGCCCCCCGCCCCCCCCTTTGCCCCTAAATAAACTTAAAGCCACCATCAAACTTGTTTGAATGTATTGGTTTTCAATACCACAATTTAAAATGATAATATAAAATTCAATTTCCAAAAAAAAAGGAATCCAACAATTGTTTTAGTATTGATTTAGTATTCATGTCATGGATTTAGTATTGAGTATTGATTTAGTATTCATTTCTTGATCAGCGGGAGGGAGAAGCTCAGTAGCTTTATTCAGGGTCAAACTCTAATTGGTGCTAAGGCACCTCATGGGGGGTACCCTTGATGAGTTGATTTGGAGTTGATTTTGGATAATTTGAATAAAGGTTTTGAATAGAAAGAGCATCCATCATTTTTGAAAATTTCCAGCTATCCTTTTTGAATAAAGGTTTTGAATAGAAAGAGCAACATATAGGATAAGCCAAAAAAAAAATAGGGCAAAAAAAAATGTTTTATTTAGGGGTCATTTATTATTTAGTTTGGGAGTTTGGTTAGCTTTATTCAGGGTGCATTGATAAATCGTAGGTCAACATTACTTACTTTATGTTGTCCCCTTTTATGCTGCGAAAACTTTGTTGGTTGGTTGGTTTAACCATCTTCAGTCCCAATACGTTTTGACCCAGCACTATTTGTATAGAATTATATATGTGCATATATATATATATATACACTAATATATTCACACACATATATATATAAATCACCAAATATCTATGTATATGAGATCTGAATTTCATCCACCCAAAAATGGACACATGAGATTTGACATGACGTAAGTCCCAACATCATGACATGGCACAAATCATGGCCAAAATCATCCAAAATCTCCGGAGATTTTGTCGCGACGCTGAGGAGCCGCGTTTTTTGCGTCTCTTCGGGTCTTTCACCGAAGCTGGATGACCTTGAAGAGCTGCGCAAGCTGCAACGGCCGCTGGAGGCCTGTCCAGGACAGGTTTTCCCCAAGGTGAGACCTACTGGTAGGTTGGTTTATAACTACCCTTTGGTAATGTAATTAACATAGCTATGGAAAATGGCAATCTATAGTTGATTTACCTAATAAAATGTGTGATTTTCATTGATTTTCCATAGTTATGTTGAATTACCAGAGGGTAACATTAATACAATACGTGAATGGGTTTACGGAGAGAGATGAGAGAGAAAGAGAGATACCAATTTAAGATAAAGTTGTTTAGCCAATAGATGCAAAAAAGTACTTTGATTAGGGGAGGGGATTATATTCATGTGAGCGCTCCTCTGGCGGTTCTGGGTTTGTCTCACAAATCAGGCTTTCCAAATTTCACGTTTTGTTTTCAAATAATAGCACGATGATAGACCGTGAGATTTGGGCACCCTATTCTCGGACAGAGATGGATTAAAAGAAAACACATTGGGAATAATATTAATATGTCCAACGGAACCCGCAACAATAGGTTCAACGGAAGCTTTCAACAATGGAACGCCCATAAGGAACCGCCTATGTCGAATGAATACGTTTGCTCAAACTAACCAGAGTTGCGATTGAAGGGTATTTTTAAGATACTGTACTACTGTACGGTTTAATATCATAGGGATTCATAGGGCAGGGATTTGTTTGACCAGGTTTTTTACGGCCAGTACTTGTTCTCCCAACCTCTTTGGGGATGTTTGACGTCGTTGTGAACCCTCTGCAGTGAATCTGCTGTCCTCCAAAACTGAAAGCCCCAAAGAACCTCAAATGAATCCTAAAGAACCCTACATAAACCGTGAATAAACCTGTACCTGTGGGGCGTAGTGCACGTGCTGCGGGTTATACAGCCCGATTAGCGGATACCCAGCGTACTTAGCTTTCAGCCCAAACCCAAACAGGCTGAAAAGCTAATCGTTCAGGATTGTTCAGCTCCGACCTTTTTTTGTTCAGAAACAGTTTGCCTGATTTTAATTGTTTTGTTTGTAGCTATTTCGCGCCGTTTCACGGGGAATAAGTTCCGCCCCTTGGAAATTTACAAGCGGCTGGGCATCATCTACAAGCGTATGTGTTGGTCCTGTTATAGCTTTGAATCTCTTGATTTCTTGGGGTCGGTAGTTTTTGTCTCTTTAGCACACATTTGGTGGTTCAAGGCCCGTGACATTCCAATAATAATTCATAGTTTGTATTATATATAATATAGATACAGCAGTACATATGCTATTTAGATTATTATTTAGTTTATTCCATCCTTACCTGGGATGAAGACGAATCGACTCATCATCCCTATCAATCCTTATCATGTTTTCTGGTTTCGAACTACCCCATCGCCGTCGTTCCATTTCGCTGTCAGGTGGGGTCGGATGGCTTGGTTTGCGACCTGCTGTGGTCGGACCCGGAGGATCACCAGCCTGGGTGGCACGAGATGGACAAGGGCATGTCGTACACCTATGGCCCCGATGTGGTGGATGAGTTCCTGAAGAAGAATCACATGGACTGGCCCTGACACGCCGAAATGGCATGTAAGTAATTTAAGCTTAAGACATTTAAGGCCAAAAGAAATCGGGAAAGCATGATTGAACATGAGGAACGGTGTTCTCTTGTTTTCTTGCTGCAAAGTTGGTGAACACTCATTAATTGTGAGGGTTAGATTTGACAAAATGGCAGAGGGGCCAGAGTTCTTTGAATTTATTATGTCGCTGACGTTGTTGTTGGATGCCAGCCTGCTTTTCCCAGATTGATTAGATATCCTCAAGACGCCACCAAGAGTGAATCAGCCATCATAGATTCTTCTGCAGGATTTCATTGTCCGTGGCACCCAAGTGGTGGAAGAAGGTTATGAGTTCTTTGCTGATGGGAAGGGTGTGTCAATTTTCAGTTTCCCTTCCTTTTTGGGGGAGTTTAACAACAAGGCCAGCGCCTCTTGGCGAAGGGAGCAAGGCATGTTCAGTGGACTCTTTTGACGGTGTTGGACGGAGGCATTGCTTAGACCTGTAAGGATTTGTTGAGTAGAAACTGAGATGTTGAACATGGATTGTTTTTTTTTTGCAATAAGTATATGAATTTGCATACCTGATTTATTTGCATTTTGTTTGCAAGAGATTTGATGATGCTTGGACGGGATTTGCATTTCTCATTTGCAGTTTTAGTGCATTGGGTTGGCTGCATTTTCTGTTGAATTGTGGAATTGCATGGTTCAACAGCAGTGGTAGGGTGGGATGCAGCGCTCTATGCTCCATCGTGCCCCAAGGTGATGTTGCTTGACGAGCAGCTGCAGCAGAGCTTGCACACCTTCGATGACACCATGCTCCCTGTGCCATCTGCATGATTGACGGTATGCCTAAGCCTAAAAGGGCGAGTTCCAAAATCCGCACGGATTTCCGAGTCATCTCCGGACCCTTGGACTCGGAATTCTTCCGAGATATTCCGAGATTGATTTGCTGATCTTTGCCCCACAAGTGGCCGTTCCGTTCTGATTTGCACGTCTGAAGAAAAGCTGCAGCCTGTGGACTGGCCAAGCATGATCTCATACAAATGGGCCCCAAATCAGGAGCCCTAAACCGCCTAAATTCCATGGCATGGTTTAGTCATGTTAAATCATTTTGAATCGCCATTTCCTCTATCAAAGGCAGCTCAGTTGAACAAATTCAACTGCGTTTCGTGTGATCAGCTTGTAGATTCTAGATGAGTGAAGTCTGAGTGAAGTCTTGGAAAGAGGTCATGACCGGATCATCGCAACAGATCGCAAAACAAATCTTGTTGTTTTGGTGGGGCCCTGGCGATCGAATGAGAGCACCCCCTCATTTGTTTCTTTTTTGCCTATGATTTGGACAATAGTTTGCATACTAATGATTGCATGATATCAACATATACCAACTCTGGGGAGCCATGGAAAAAGTTATTTACTTCGGTGCTGACAATGCCATCAGGCAGATGCTCTGCCCTCACTACATGTTCAGACCTCATTTGAGAAGCCCTCACCTGACTTCAGACGTTCATAGCGGTCATTGGTTTTGGACTTGGAAAACATATGCGCATCATTTTCACTATGCATCATGAATCACCAACGAAGCGGGTTCTCAACTTCACATTCTGAAGCACTGAAAACGGACACATTTGAACCGAACCATGGTAACATTGGACCTCCAACATCCTTTAAGTTTTGGAAAATACATTATCAAAGTTCTTCCTCTTCCCAAAATTCTTCAGCTTTCTGGAAGGGGATTTGATGTCCATGGCCCATTGGCATGGCAACCATGGCCCCAGCTGCCCCCGGCCGTTTTCTAAGGCGTGCATCACCATGGATCCCCAGTGCCAGGAGCTGGGCGAAAGCTTGCTGGAAGAGTTGCGGAAGCAGTGCTGGAGCTCAGCTCCCCGCAATTTGGCAATTTGAAGATTATTTGTTAGATAACTTCCAATTGATATACGGTAATTATATATATAATGTTATACTGTGAATTACTGTGATATATATTATATATCATATCCTGAAACTTGATGGCTTTATCACCAGAGAACTTTTTTTAAACGAAATCAACAGAATCCCTTTTTGGGCCCCACGTCAAGGACAGGCATTTTGAGTCCCTGCAGAAGCGCCATCCCATCACCAGCCACCAGCCGTCAGGTTGAAGCTGTCCCAGTCTCTGCGTAAGTGCTATGGAGAAATTGAGGCTGGCCTTGATCATTGGTGATGTAAGTAGATAATATAAACAATGGTATTATACTATTATATTGCTACTGTAATATGATAACTAATGCTATTATATTGAGTATCACAATAATATATTGTACCAGGGTACTAATGTATGCATATATATATGTATGCATATATATATATATATTATATAATGTGTGTGTGTGTCACATATGTATACTGTACCTCATTAGCCACCTTTTAAACCACTGTCCACTGTCTGGGTAAAGCATGACCCAGCCAGACCCAACCATGGCCTCTTGCAGGTCTCCACCTCCTTGTTGGTGCAAGGCGTTTGGTCGGTACCACAATCACAGGCGGACGGTCGGATGAAGTTTGGCATCCCAAGTGAACTCTCAACGTGTTCTGTGAAAAACAAGGACGGTGGGCCATCGGAGTATATGTATGAAATCTATGAGCCTGCTACAGTAGAAGAAGGTTGCACAAGTCTCATTGCCCATTCCCATCGGCCATGCCAGGCTTTGATTTTGCTTCTCACTCCAGAATGGCTTCTGACTCCTTTGGGTGTCCCTTGGTTGCCCTTCTGGCCAGAAAGTCTGTGTGCTCACTGCGTGCATTGTTTGCCCTTCAGCTTAATGTGCTTCGAAACATGAGACCATCACCTAAATCAACGGTAATCAGATTCCATGTCCGTGTATAGTCTTACCGGTGACCCGCTAACTAGCTGAAATGATGCATAAACTGAAGAGCCTAAAAGACAAAGGTTAACCTCTGAGATGGAGAGATGGAGATGGAGATGGAGAGAGAGAGAGAGAGAGAGAAACAAAAAAGGAATGAAGAGTGTGCTTTAACAGGTTCAGCCATAGTTCTACGTTTGGAAACAGAGTGCATACTGTTAGAGTATGAAATGGCAAGATGTTCACACTTGTTCTATGAAATGTAAATGTCATCTGTGTTACCTCATCATGTGAGTTGTGCTTGGTCCTCTCAATCCTCAATCCTCCATTTTTCAATCCTCTCACTTTCCATATGGCCAAGGTTGTCAAAAGTGATCTAGCAATGGGACCATTTTGTGCTTCTCACAATTGGCTTAAGATAATATTTACTGTATATGAATTGTTTATATATATATATATATATATATATGCACGTGTTTTCGCATATGTAACATGCATGCATTTATAGGTATATAGTTGTATTATATATATATATAAGGCATATATATATATATTGTACATATATATATATATTTATTTATTTATGCATATACATATATTACATGCATAACATATATATATGCATACCTACACCTTCCTAAGGGTGTACATTTTTGACCCCTATACTCAAAACTTGGTTTTTGGACTTAGGGTCACTTTTGTGATCTGGTTGAAGTTGAGGGTCAATAATTTGGTTTGGTCTATCTGGCAGCCTTTGGGTTCCAAATTCCTGCCACCCTTGGACCTTGGAGGCCCGATGGGATTCCATGATCATGCATCTCGATCCCACCACAGCTCTTGCATTTTTTCCAAGACCGCAATTGTAGCGAGGGTTGCATCCACACCTGTGCATGGAGGGCACTCCGGTTCATGGACGAGACATCATCTACTGTAAAGTCTGTCAGCTTGTCAATCTTGAATAGTTAGATATTGTTCACTTAAGTTCGTTACCACAAACCTGCTGGAATCCCCACCTTACCTGCCAGGCTTCATGGCGATTCGATGTTGCAAGTAGACTGCGAAGGCACCTCACTGATGGGCCGTCGTGGGAAGCCGGCTGTGGGGGGTCATGGCCACGAACAAAACCATGCTTACAACTGCAAGCATTTTGTTGGCTCAATTGTTCTAGAAGGATGGCTCACGAAAAAGGGCCTAAAGAGCTCCACCAATTTTGGGAGGATGAGAGCTTTGTCCGTGATCGCTTCCGGGCACAAGGTTCTTTGCTAAAATGGTCTAGTGAGAAGACTGTCAGCATCCCTTGCATGGCGAATATCAGCATCAATTACCAGGTTCTCATCATCATGGCAGACTTCTTTTGTCCGCTCCAGACTGGTATCCAGACCCCCAAGATTGGCTTTATTCGGGCACAGGCAGGGTCAAGGAAAGTTGGTTCAGTAGTGCTTGGGTTAACACACTCCATTGGAAGTAGATTACATTAGATTACATTAGATTACATAATTTGGGCATGTTTATTATGGTACCACTCATTCTTAAAGCCCCACCTTGAAAGGTCAAAAAGTTGCGAGCACTCTGCCAGTGTCCTGCGGATGCCATCAAGCTTCACTTGGATAGCTGGGGGTTAAAGAAACTTTGGTCCTATGCTTTGCGTAAGGCGGGAAAGGAGAAGACTGAATGCACTTCCAATCCCAAACGTAGAGACTCTTTACTGCATTTTTGCCAAACAAAATCATTTTTCTATAGCAATGGGGATGAGCCTAGGATCATATTATATACATATCTGTGCTACTTACTGCTCTTGATCTTTTTCCCTCATTGTAATACTATAGTTGGATTGGGCCCCAATATAACCCATGCCTTCTAGTTGAACCTTGGCTTTGCCAAGGACCATGGCACCCAGCTTTTCTATGACGTCTTGTTCAAGCACTGGGGAGTGAGGCTTCGCAAAGCCAAGCCTTCCAAAGTCCTGATGATTGACAACCCGGCCGATGTGAAGCAAGAGGAGCAGGACCTGCAGCGAGCACTTCGGGGAGATGAATGTGATGAAGCTGACACAGAAGTTGTGGTGGTTCTGGATGACCCATACCTTGATGGGATGTTTGTGGATGATGATAGCCCCGTGCAAGATGAGGAGAAAGCCAACCCAGTCTCTGATGACAAACCAACCTCTGATGAGAAGCCAGCCTCTGATGACCAACAGTTCGCCGAGGTCAACGCAGCCCCGGCCACCCAGAATTATGATGATGCGGTGGTGTGCTCCAGTGCTGATTCTTCGCTGGTTCTGGCTCAACTCAATCTTAGGATTATGCAGATCCAGTTGCTTGACAAGTAACTAGTTTGCCTTAAACACATGGTGTTCCAAATCGAAAATAAATTGGTATTATTGCAACAACAGCCTTGGGAGTTTTGCCCATTATGGCCAAGCATTGCCAATTATATGATAAATTATGTGCTAAAAATAATATGCTATAAATTATATTATTATATATATAATGTAGATTTATGTATACCCCATTTATACCATTAGTATATGTGCAAGTTGGCTCACCCAGGAGTATCCTCCCTTGCCACGCCTTGTCTGCCCAGGTTGAAGCGCCAGCAAAAGCGTGCTGCTGCACAGGAGAAACCTGTGCAGGTGAATGCGGTGAGTGAGGTGGCACCCGGAGTGAATGTTGACAACATGGACACGCTCCCCTACTCAATCATGGACCACAATGCCGACTTGTCCCCCATGCCCATGTCCCAGGGTGTGACTCCTTCACCTTTGGGGCCCGTTGAAGTCGAAGAGACCCCGCCCAAAGTTGAGTCATTGAAGCGGGTTTTGGTGCAGCAGTTTGATTCGATGTCCAAGGGTGATTCCAAACCTGAAATCCAAGCATCCCTGCCTGATGCTACTGGGGCTACTGGGGTTGGAAGGGAAACCCTACCTGATGGTGAGACCCTGCCTGATGATCCTGCGGTGAAAGGTGATGCTCCGGTGGGACATGAGACCCTTGGTGATGCCCCAGTACAAGGTGAGACCCTACCTGATGACTGTCCAAGCCTTTCTGAGATTGCTGCAGCTTTTGGAGAAGCTTTGCTTCAACCACAGCTTGACGAGCCACCTGTGACTTTGGATCACAGTGATTGCCTTGCCCCTGCCGAATCCAGTCAGGTGTTGGAAGCTGGTGCTCCTACTCCCATGGGCTCTCCAGAGCAACCGCCTGCGAAGTGCAGCAGCAGCAGCAGCAGTGAGGCTGAGGAAGACTTGGGGGGAGGGGTTGAAGAAGTTCCCTCACCTACCTTAGAAGAGGAGCTGGATGCTGAGCTTGAGGGCGCGGCACCTGTGGTCAAAAGGGTTGAGCAATACAAGCAAAAGACAGAGAACCATCCACCTGCCAAAAGGGGAAGGCCTAAGGCCAAGAAGGCTGAAGAACCCAAGGAACCCAAGAAAAGAAAGGCTTCAGAGAGCAGGCCCAAGAGCAAGGCGAAAGCCAAGGCAAAAGCTACTAGTAAGGCAAAAGCTAAGGCGAAAGCAGTTGCAGAGCAGCAGGCACCGGCAGCAGCTTTGCCTCCACAGCCAGCAGCACCTTTGGATCCGCCGCTGCCAGCACCTTTGGATCCACCAGCAGTCCCCCTGCCCAAAGCCAAAGGGAGGTCAAAGGGCAAGCATTACATGACCATTGACGACATCATTCCCCCGACACCAGCACCACCAAGACTGGCGCCATGTGTTGACAAGACCAATCCAAAGGACACACGTGCAGAAGAGGGTGAGATTGTTGGCAAGGGTGGGAAGCCCAAGGCTCCCAAGAAGAGGGGTTCTGAGCCAAAGGCATCATCCAGTGGGGTGAAGAAGAAGCGGGGGAAAGGAAAAAATGAGACACCTGAGCCTGTCCTTCCTGCTGAGCCTGCTCTTCCTGCTGAGCCTGCTGACTATGCTGTTGAGCCCGTTGCCGAAGGCCCTGCCCCTCAGCCGAAAGAGAAGAGTTTTGCTCGCAGGCCTCGTCCGAAGACTGAGCCTGCTGTCACCAAGTGGGTTCAGATCCGAGATGTCTTCAATGAGCGTGTCCGTGGGGAGATCATGGGGAGGGGCGTGCGCTTTCCCGGCACTTGGGAGGAGACGGGTGTTTCAACTAAACTTGGCTCAAAGTTGGGTTATATAATATATAAATTATGCATCACAGGGGTGGGGGCGTTATAATTTCGATTCAACTCCCACATTGTTATTGTATAACTGTTTTTCAAGTTAGCGTAATTTGTATAACAGTTTCATCTTACATCCCAGGAGCCTTGGTTGAAGGCATGCACAAAGAAGTTTGCCGAACACTATGTCCCTGATGATCTTTCTGAGTACCGTCAGATCGTGATCGATTGCATTCCAGCTTTCGTGGATCATGTGACACTGACCCTGATGCAGTGAGCCATATACCAGTTCCATTTTCTTTCCAACCGTGTGCATTCACACTGGCTGATTTGGGGTTTCTTTGTGCATGTGTGATCACATGCAACGCCAAGACTTGAGTTGATTGGAGCTTGGTACCATAGCGCAGAGGGTGACAAAAAAGGCTCCGAACTCCTTCCCAACAAAAATATTTCTGAAAGCCAAGACAAGTAACACCTGGTAATTCTATTAAATTCTCATGTTCAGGAATGATTGGATTGGAAAACTGGGTGATATAGTTCATTTTTTTTAGGGTAAGACCTCAGGTCCAACATGCCCTGCTGCCTCGTTCCCGGCATATGGAGGCAATGGCTCGCCGTGGCTGCATCAACCTGGCCAAGTTCGGTGTGGGAGCTAGTTCTCCGAGTGCCAACTGGGTTGGTTGGGTGGCATGCCACAGGATGTTCATGTGAAAGTGTTGCCATGTCTACACCACAACTGTCATTGTTCCTGTCCTGCAGCATTTCCAAACTCCATACTTACGCAACTGCACCCTCCGTGACAATGACGCCAGCTGAACTGGAAATCATGATTCGGAGACTCTTCACGCTGGAAGTACCGATGGAAGCATGGATTTAAACTTACTGTCGATATATGCATACTATATATATAAAAGGCTGAAGTATGACTCAAGTTGGGATATCTTCCCATGTACTGGGGATGTAGTTTGGACCACCATTCCTTTGCAAACTTAGGATGTTATCTTCTTGGTACTGCTTGTCTCTTGGATGGGGGTTCTTCGAGATGAGAAGTACCAAGTCTTTGAGTTTTTCGCTGGTGTGGCCCGCGTAGCAAAGGTGGCCAAACTTCTGGGATACAAGACTGCAGCCTATGAGCGTGATTTCGGTAAAAGCTCAAAGGTCAGAGGAAAACGAAGCCCAATGGATTTGAACAGCAATGCTGGTTTAGTGTTTCTTGGATGTTTTTTTCGGTTGAGCTAGGGTTAAGGGTTGAAACCATTTTTTTTTGAAACAATGACATGTCCTAGAGTCCTATCATTCCATCCCATCCCGACCATGCTTCAGGCTAGCAATCAGCCTCATCTTGGCCGGCGAGTTTGGGGCAGTAGCTGCATTGTTTGCGGTGTGCTGCTCCAGCTTTGTTCCTGTCAACCGGGGCACAGGTGGCCGAAGTTTGCTTACACCACTGGGCAATGAGGGGGTGCCCTCAGTGAGAAGATCGAACAAATTGATGTCAAGGATTTGGGGTGGTCAAAGGTTAATATAACCACAGAAAAGTTCATGCTGAAAATAAATATATGGGTTGGCCCCAATGAAGTTTAACGGTTAAACCATGGAGGAGTTGTCTTTTGAAGCTTCTACTCATCGCAGCTGGAGGTGTGATTTTACTGGAGAACCCACAGAATTCTTTGATAGCTCTACATGACCGTTGGGTATGGCTGGTGAATGCACTAGCCCGTTACGCTATTGAAGTTCCTTGGTTATTTTTTCCCACTCCATGTTCCCCCACAATTGCTGAACTGGTTTTATCATGTTTTATCCACGAGACTGATTTCAATTAATGTTTCTTGACTTTGAGGTTTACAAGGTGAGCTTCTGGATGAAAAAACACAAATCTTTGACATGGAAAAGAACGTGGATTTGGTCAACTTCCCCCATCATCCAACGACTAGATCTTGGCTGCCTCACTGCTGAAGAACGGCCAACTACCGTTAAAACAACGACTTCTTGGACAGACCCCACAACTGGAAAGAAAAAGTTTCAAGGAAACCGGCACTTGAAGGGAACACAGTATCTTTGGGTGCATGACGTATAGATTTTGATTTTGAATTACAGTATGTTGGCCCCAAATAATATGCATTATAAATGATATATGATGTATCAGTAACTGGTATTGCCTTCCTGCCCAGGCAATATACGTGGAGATTTGCCCGTAATGTTGTGCAGCTTATCCCAGCCTTCCGTGAAGAGAGGCGAACTCAGATTCCTCCGGCGGAGCTGGGCGGCATTGTTCAAAGCTGTTCACACTTCTATATATGGGTTATTTAAGTTATAAATAATATTGTAGAACTATTGTAGGATGGTTTATGCAGGCGGTAATTTGCTGGATTATATCTTTCTGGCTATTCCTCAAACTTCCTTCCAACCAAGGATGAATCCATACCGTTGCTGGAACTCTTCAAGAAGGGGAACTTTGAAAATCGATGGGATTCCCATGCTGACTTGCATGAATGCATCATGTACTGTAGAGGGTCTAAGCTGCTAAAAATTCCCTCTGAGTGGCGGCCCTGGTTGCCAAGCTCCATATGAGGGAGGTGCAGAAACCCAACATCGACGATCGTGCAATAAAATGGATCGATTTTTCATGCATGATTTTTTTCATGCATGCATGAATTTTTTTCATGTGCATGATTTTTTTTCATGTGCATGATTTTTTTTCATGTGCATGATTTTTTTCATGTGCATGATTTTTTTCATGTGCATGATTTTTTTCATGAATGTGCCAAAACTCAGGGGCGGTTCTGGCCGGTCTAGGGGCGGTTTTGGCCGGGTCCGGGGCGGGATTGCCCGGTCGTGATTTTTAGGCACAAATTTTAGGGGTCAGTTTCAAAATCCATGGCCCGTCATCTGTTATCCCAACAATTTTCGAGTTCAACCCTGATGGACGGAGTTGCCCTCATCAAGTCTGAACCTGGACTTACGCTTCCTAGTGACGATGAAGATCTTGACGCAGAACTTGAGCACTTGCAGGCTCTTATTTTTGATGAAAAAATGGATTTCAACCACAATTGTTGATCTTTAATATAAATTATCATACTGCACTTCCCTAGTAATAGAAACCCTTTTTGGATCTTTTTGGGGCATCCCTTCCAGAAACTTCGGGACCAGATCACCAACCAGTCCGCCTGTGGTGAGAAGCTTGATCTCGATGGTGAACAGCCTTTGGTAGAACCTGGGAAGACTGCGGATAACATGGACGAAATGTGCGATGAGGATCTTCAAATGCTGTTTGTTTTTCATGCGCCTTGTCAATACAACTTGATGTGGGTTAACAGTTATCCCTGTTAAAAGTTCAAGAGGCTGTCATAACTCTAGCCAGGTGAAGTTTGGGTTTCGACTCATGACATCACTTTGGGTTTTGGAAGGGAGGTCATGTGTTCCATACCCGCAAAGGTGCCCAAGCAAGAAGACACAGCGCCTACAGATATTGATGAGGCCTGGCCTCATTGATGCTTATCTTACAGGCCTCTGATCCCACAAAATGCTAAAGATGTGTAACCTATCCCATTGAATCCATAAAAAAAGGTTGTTGAATAAACTAACAATGGTATATGCCATAAAAAAAAACAGTCAGAACAAAAGGTCCCCCAGCAACCATTCTGTGAGACCTATATAATTTTGCTTCTGCCCGAAAACACAGTAGGGTCACCAGAGATTATTTGAGGGGCTAGTTGGAAACAAAGAATCTGCGGATTATACATGGTGTGTTAAAATGGTTGGTCAACATGCAACAAAGATTTGTTATAATGAGTGAAGTGATGTGATGTATTATTAAATGGTTGGCTCCCGTCCCCATCCCTGCCTCCATCGCTGTACAGGATGAAGCGCAACCGGCGCAACCCGCTGAAGATGTCCTGGACTCGCAGGAGGAGCAGGCCCATCAGGCGATGGAGAAACTTGCAATCTATGGTCCATGGAGGGCTGTTCCAATTTATCTGGGAGAATCGGATGGAAATTTGTTGGGTGGTGACGTTGGTGATGCCACTGCCGCTGTGGATTCGCCTACTTCAGCGGATCCATATCTCACCCTTCAGGATCAGGATTGGTTATGGGAAAATATGGAACCAATAACTTGTTGATAGATGGGTCCTTAATAATCTCAAGTTTCAATTGTTATACAGATAATCACTTATTAACTATGTCGTTGGTTGATGTGACCTTATTATGTGGGATGTAGCATTCTAACATCAATGTTTTCCAAAACCATATATATTAGTATACAAATTATCATTGTATAGCGCGACAGGGTTCTACTGATTCTACTGGCTGTGCAAACCCTGCCCAGGAGTTCAGCCCCGGTACTCAAGATATGATTGATCATGTTGGATCACTGGGTGATGTGTCCAACAGGGCTTTGCCTACTGAGCCTTCATCGGGTTCACAGGGCACTGACAAGGCCAATCATCATGAGCCTTCAATGGGCCCACAGGCCATTGTTGACAAGGCCAACCCCAATGAGCCCACTGACAATGCCAATGGGATTTCCAACCCAATCTCCAGGCAAAATGCAATGAAAAGGTTGAACAGGCTTTTCAAGCAACGTGCTGATGGGTCCTATGCTGTGTCAGAAGATTTGATTAAACAGTGGCGTGATGAGAGTGGCCGAGAATACCTCTTGTCTGAGTTTCAGAAAGCTGGGTACAACAAGGAATAGGGTTAGGGTTTTATGTTATTTCATGCCCATCTTGGGGTTGTATAGCCTTCAATAAATATATATGGAGTGACCTGTAATATCCTGTAATAAAACAAATAACTCACAAGATATGTACCCCACACATTTCCACCATCTGGAGATCCTCTGTTGGTGCTTTAGCCCCAATAACTGCTATTCATCCCTACTTTGGTATGCTGCAGGACCTGATGGTGGCAAAGTGCACGAAGCGCATCAAGGAGAAGATATCCGAACAAGACATGTGGGTTGATGGGGCGTTCGCTTCGGAGGAGGACATGAAAACAGAACTCAACTTTTCTGAGACCCTTGTTTTAAGAAGTAGTATCCAATTGATTTATCATGATATATATCATAAAATTACCTTTCATTTGAATCCATTGGCATCTCAAAACTTTGGCTGGTTGCTGTTCGGGATATACAGCACCCATGACTGTACCAACAATGTCCTGTTTTACTGAGGAACCGCATCAAAGCTGTCAAGGCTGAGTGTGCAAAGCACAAAGGCTGGATCAGGAGACTTACTAAACCAAAAACCGAAAACTGAAAACACCATAACTGGACCTATCCATGTCACAAGACCACCTTAGATTTCAGATTGAACAAATTCTCTGCAAGGAGGGACCGCTATGAAAAGCACATCCAGCTCTTTTGGGTCGAAAAAAACATGTGTGGCAAAATGCTGATCTTCGGTTGCAGTGTTTGTTGTGGCAACATGCTTGTCATGCCCTGTCCCCGCCACACCCGTTTAGATTATCAACAAGTGCGCCCAGGAAGAAACGCCGCTCCGTTCTTCTGGATGAGGATGAGACGGATGAAGAGTTCGATGATCATGAAGATGATTTTGAGATGAATGCATGGACTTTGTCAGCCCAAGACAAAGGTAGGTATATAATTCAGTTTCGGTTGTCAATGATACCTATAAGAGTGCTTCCCCAAAAAATGATCGATCAGTACTTGGCCCATTTGTTAATCAGAACTATGATAAATATCCCATTGGTTTTTATATAATTTTATATAAATATGCCAAATCCTGCTGGATGTATACTATGCCCATCCGGTCCTGCAGGTGCTGATGCCGTGACCCAGAGAGAGAAGTCTGAGGCTGATCGGGAGGCAGCCTGGAGCAAAACGCTCAAGACTGTCAGTTGGCCAGAGATGGATGATGATGCCTTACCATCCACTTACTGTGGCAAAGTGATGAACTGTCTGGGCAAATGGCAGCTGAAGATTTCTGACATGGCTAAGAGTTTCGACCAGTTTTCCGAACTGGATGAATGTTTGGAGCAGCTACTGGGTGAAATTGCAAACACTTTCAATCAAACATTATCAAATACTTGGTGCTGAACGATTGGTGTTATTGACAAAGAATTAGTTCAGATTTGTTTGCTATCATTTTTTGTTGCCCCCAAGGCTTAAACAACAGTGCCTTGAGCTGTCCAAGACTTTGAACGCAGCTGGTGACAAGTTGGCCGACACCAACAAGAAGGTTGTTCTTGGTGGACTGGAGCCGGTGCAACTAGTCTCCACAATGGTTGTTCAATACAACAAATAGCTTAAAGAATTAAATCATCAATGTTAACCTTCAACAAGATTGAAACCTTGCCTTAAGGCAACAGGATGAGCTGAAGATGGAGTTCAAGTCCGTTCGGAACACGTCACTGGCTTATATGATCTTATCTTACATGCATATACACTGCTTCACTGCCGTGAGCCCCCTACCACATGTTTGGACCATGTTGGGCCTCCAGTTGCGCTGCCCCAGGTGCATCGAAGCGCTGAACCTCCACAGCCGGGCTCAGCTATGGTCCTAGTTAGTCTGTTGAGGGTATCTTAATTTCAAGGGAAGAACGATTGTTGAAATCGATTGCTTTTTATTTGAGGCCATACCTCGCCCATACCAGAAAACTTCTGAGGAAGCGCAAGGCTGAGGAGGGTCAAGAGACACCCCACAAATCCGTGAAGCAGGAACCGACCCGAAAGTAGGTGATGTTTTGTTTACGCGGTGCTAAAAGCAATGAACCGCAAATTTGCAAATTCAATGAACAATTTGCTTTGACAAATGTTGGCCAATATAGCTTTTTTCGAAGCTGCTGGCTATCGATATGCAATTTGGGGATGCTCGAAAGAACCAAAGGGAGAAAAGGGATTGCAATTGCATCGGACTCCATGCAACTTAGATTCAATCAAATAAAGAGTTTGCATCAACACGCATCAACTTAGCTAGTTCTTCAAACTTCAAACTTCCAAAAATGGACACCCTGTCAACTGGATGGAGGTACGGAAGGCCATGCAGGCCCCTTGCTTACCCACATGGTAGAGGTGGTTGCTGATGGAGCTGGGGTCTCAACATGTCTCAGCTAGAATGTTGCTGACATCCGTTGGAATTTGCACTTTTCTCCCCATTGTTGTTCCCTGGGTTATATAATCTTTGCCCACGCATCGCAATGAGGCCCCTGCCAAAGCTCTCACTGAGCATCAAAATGCCCTGGCCCGGGACGTCGGGTCAAACAGGCAGCTCACGGAGAAAAATGCATCAAGGCATTTCAAACGGACAGTCAAGAGACATTCCTTTGCGGTGAAGATCCCTATGTCCAAGTATGTTCATGAAGAGGATGGCTCTGTCGTGTCTCTACCATGGATACGGCCTTCAAGTCTTTTACTCTACCTTCTGACTAGCTACCAGTGGTTACTCCTTGGTGGTTGTGAAGTGGTGGAACAAGCAGAGGCAATGCTGCAATCCTTTTGGGACAACTACAAAGTGAACCACCCAAGTCATACAGTATTTAACCGAAGTCCTGTACCATTGAAACGCACAATTCCAGTTGCACTACATGGCGATGGAGCTCGAACACAAAAAATGCAGCCCCTTGAGATATTTTCTTTGGAAGCAGTTCTGGGTGTTGACAGCTATCAATGCAAGGAATGCAGGCATGATCCTTGTGGTTGCCCCCAAACCAAAAAAAGACGCAAACAATTTGGGGACCCTTTGGTGCAATGCTTGAACCAGAAGCACCATAGTTATTTGACGCGGTTCCTGCTCTTTGCTTTTGCAAGCAAAGAACTCAAGATGCCTGGCCTCTTGCGTGCTCTTCTTCAACAAGTTGGTGATGACCTTGGCAAGGTTTGCGAGGAAGGGATTCAGACTCCACATGGTCGCTGGGGGATTGCTGTGGTTGGTTACAAAGGTGATATGGAGTATCACGCCAAGACCAGTATCTCCAGAAGTTATGCCAATGTAGGTCATGTGAACTTCATACGGTGTTGCCATGAATGTGAGGCAGGGCATCGAAATCACCCATTCGAAGATCCTAACCCAGCAGCTAGTTGGGTATCAACAAGGTACACAACACTTCCATGGGTCACTATGCCCCCGTTCACTAGCATTCCGTTTGAAGACTGGAGTGGGGATACTAATGCCAAAGCAGCTCTGTTCTTTCGCCGTGACAGTTTCCACATCTTCCGACTGGGCATTGGACGGAACTTTGTGGCTTCTTGCATCATCCTGATGTGCCACAATGCGCTTTTCGATGATGGTGAATCTGACTATAGTATGGAACGAAGAATGAAAACTGCTTGGTCTCACTTTTATTTGTGGTGTTCCTCAACTGGACAGCGGCCACAGAGCATTCGTAGTTTTACCCGTGACAAACTTCATTTCAAGAGAGGGTCATTCCCATATGTTAGCTGCAAAGGCAGTGACACTGTCTTGCTTCTGAAGTGGTTGATTTTTATCATTGAGCTCACCCGGAAATCTGTGGAGAATGCTTCTTTGAAACAAACACTTGGTGTCATGTTACTTGGTGCCCGGTCAGGCCTGGTGTTCACTCAATACATCCACCGACATGGCTTGTGGATGCGAAAGCATTGTGTTGGAAAACTACGCCTTGCAGTCAAACGATTCCTTCACTGCTACTCTGTTTTAGCAAAAGAAAGCTTAGACAATTCGATCTCACTTTTTGGGATGGTACCCAAATACCATTCTATGGCTCACTACATTGCTGATATTGATGATTTTCAGGCGAGAAACCAAGGTGATGATGTCCTGCTTCTCAACCCAGCTTGCTTTGATTGCAGTATGAACGAAGACTTTGTGGGTGCAGTTGCAAAACAAAGTCGCCGCATTGGATATAGGTGCTTGCTGGACAATTTGTTCTTGGCATACAAAGTGAAACTTAGATTTGTCATTAAACGCTACATGGAGAAGAAAGGGAAGAGATCATAGCAAATGATGTGGCTTGTCTTTGAGCACAGATCTGGCAAAGTCTCCAGGGGCGCTTCTTGAAAAAAGAGAAATGCAGGGGCAGATTCTGTATTGGAGAGGCTAGAATCAAGGCCAATTCTGGAGGGGCTGAAATTCAGCATACCCGGAGGATCTAGGTATACACATTTGGATAGATGTTCGCTTAAATCAATCCGTTTATTGCTGGGATCTCCATTCCAGGCTGCAGCACTCCGAGCGATCTTTCGACTGCGTTCGATGCAGCTGGGTTGGGCTCCAAGTTCTGCAATTTCCATCAATTTCCCAAGGTAGCTGCTGAGGGAGCCAAAAAGCATCAAAATCCCAGGCGATAGGCCATAGGATGCCATAGGTTTAGCTTACACTGATGGTTTTGTTAAATTTATTCCAGTGTCCAGCGCCATGACGCCATGGATTCGATACTTGCTGCAGCACATGGATATGGAGCTGTATGGATCGGACATAGTCAACGTACACACATTTATAATCATTTATATAAATCAACCAACCGGTCATTGATCACCGGTTCTTATACCATTTCAACTCATTCGTTTGATAGAATGATCATTTGAAATCATCAATCAGAAAAAAAAAACTAATATTGGCAATTGGGCCCACAGCTTCATGGCACATGGGATGGAGAGAAGCATCGTTAAACGTGTTGTAGTGGTGTGACGAATGACATCCACAGCGCTGAGGCCCTGAAGTGCTGCCGCTGGTGCATGTGACTGCCTTTCCAGATGGCCCATCCAGCGTGGGGAATCCCGAGTTGTCGATGGATACGACTGTTTTTGGGGTTGGCCATGTGGCAAATCACATCTCGATGTCCCGAAAAATCCCAACCAATTTGCATTTCCTTGGGTTCTGCTACTTCGGGCAAAAATGTTGGGGCATAGGTATGAACTGTTATGAAGCCAAGATTCCCAAACGGTTTTAGTCAATCATTTGACTTATTTAACAGGTTCAAGAGTTTTACCACTCTTTCCACACCTGCCAGGTGAGGGTCTCTAGATTTTATTAGAGTTACTTCCTCCTTCCGTCCTTCCTCTCCTTTCTTCCTCCCAACAGCGAACTCCAGATCTCAGTGGGCACTGCTGGACCTCAACCGCGAACTCCAGATCTCAGTGGGCACTGCTGGACCTCAACCGCGAGCTCCAGATCTCAGTGGGCACTGCTGGACCTCAACCGCGAACTCCAGATCTCAGTGGGCACTGCTGGACCTCAACCGCGAGCTCCAGATCTCAGTGGGCACTGCCGGACCTCAACCGCGAGCGCCAGATCTCAGAGAAGACGACATCGCCATTTGAAGTGGTGTCGATGGCCAGCAGGCAAACCTGAAGGCAAACTTGCAAAGGTTCATTTGTTAAGGTATAAGAATTGCGTTTGTTTTGGGTTGGCCGAAAAAAGAAATAAATGAATTCCTAAGCGTCCAACAATATGCCAACTTGATGTTAAAAATTCCACTTTCCGAATTGCATTGCAGCAGCATCCAGCACCCACGCTTCCCATTTGGATGGCTGCTGCAATTTCGTAGGGTTCCTTGCGTGCCCGGATCGAAAGTTTCGAGGCAGAACCATGAATTTCCACATGCCCTGGTGTCAGAAATGAACATCGTACTGTATGGGTTGGCGCATCTTGCCGCAACAGTTTGCGCCGTCAAAACCCAGAAATGCCACCACTTGCATAAAGCAACATGATGTGGATTGGCAGAACGCATGCCGACTTCATCAGCGTATCGGTTGCAGAAAGTATAATGCTGGGACTTGGACGCCCATGTTTCAAAAAGATTCTGCTGGGAGAAACAAACAAGATGCCAGAATAGATGCCAGAAAAAATGTCAGAATACATGCCAGATAGACTGCCAGAAAGAACCAGAAAGAGAATGAAAGAGATAGAAAGAGTGTCAGATAGAATGTCAGAATACATGTGCGATAAATACTTCCAGATGGTATGCCTGCAACTATGTCAGAATAGAGTGTGAGGGCGGGGATCACTCGAAGGAAAGTAATTTGGGGGGTACATATTCATGAAGAATTGTTGAATTGCGTGAGTGGGGTGTGTTCCGATTTGGAAATCCAACAAGTGGTGGAACAGTTTTCTTACATGTCCAAAATGTATTTCCTCGTTTTCCTCTACTCATGAATTTTCTTTCTCATTGTGTATCCTTAGCAAGCACATGTTGAAGGGGTCAAAAGCACGGCCCAAGAGTCAAAGCTGAACATTGCCGACCGACACGAACTGAATTGACTGAGACTGAGATGAATTCCCTGGTGAAACATCTTATCAAAAAAGGTTTTATGTTTTTGGAATGTAATCTCAAGGCATCTCCAGAGGTAAAGGTTTCTGGAGTGACATGTTGATATGAACTGTGTGGGAAATTGTGTTAGAAAGGCTTTTAAGGTTTGGAGAAACAATAAAAGAAAACTTGATTTTTTGAGAGACACGTTGACTAAGTTGACCGATATATTGAACCTTCAAAATATCAAAAAAATGTCTCTCATACATCTTAACATGTCTCCCAGGCATTTTAACATGTCCCTCAGACATGTTGCCTGAAAAAATGCCAAGATGTCTCTCAATCATCTTAACATGTTTCCCAGACATCTTAACAGTCTTAACATGGCACGCAAACATCCTGCCTGAAAAAAATGCCAAACTGTCTCTCAGATACTTTCACGTGTCTCTCAGACATCTTAACATACCTCTCAGACATCTTGCCGGAGAAAAAAAAACATGATGTCTCCCA